TCTCGCCTACATCGTCCATATAGGACGACTCGGGAACTCAACTCCTACCCCGGGCAGCTCACCTATCCCCTTATGCCCAGGGGAAAGGTATCAAGCCGTTTGACAGCTGATGCTGGCTGTCAAACCGGCTTTTACGCAAAACAGGCGGGAGGCAGCAAACAGCTGCGACCAGCGAAATCGCCTGCCACCGGAAGTCTTCCACTCTGTCTTCACTTCCAGCACTTCTAAGTTCATGCCAGCTCCTTAGTTGATTCAACTTCTCCTCCTTGTAAAAGAATGTGTGAAAAATTCTACTCTTGGTTATTTTCCAGATTCAGGCTATCATCCACAAGTTCAGTTCATATGTCTGGATGGTCATATAATAGAATAGCATTAGTATTTACTATTTATTGTCTTCTCCATTTTGGTTCTTACATATATTATTACATATTCATGTAGCTGTATCGCTAAATGCATGGAAGAAATGTTTAATATTCCAAGACTACAATACTATTTTAAGACACTGGGATTAACAAAAAATGAAAAGAGTTGATTGTCTTCAAATGGAAAACTTATTCCTCTAGACAAAATATTCAGTGGATCTTGTGGTTGAGGCTATTTTTGCCCTTTTTCCTTTTCCCCTCTATTCCAAAGTATAGCATCACAAATATAATGGTTCCTCAATTTAAGGATTGTTTTGGAAATATGAGCAATATGGAGGTAAACATGCTAGGGCCTACAACTGCTGCCATTCATAAACTGTGTTTATGCAACATGCTTAACCAGGTTGGATTTAGCAGCTCTATTTACATGACAAGCTTAGTTAATTTAATCTATGTTTATAATTCTTGTTTCATGTTGTTTCACGTTGTATGAATCCAATTTGTTGGGTTAGTTTAAAGTTCCTTATTATGTGAATCCAGCAAATGTAAGTTTATTCTAGCCTAGCCCTTTGTAAAGATGCTTATTGGTATAAATAAGAAAGCATAAGGCAGGAAAATTTCCAATCACTTTGTTGAAGACCTCACTTTGTACCATGAGATAATAAATTGTATTTTAATCTCAGACTTTAAAAAAAAAATCTAAATTCTAGTACTCCCTGACACTATCCTTTCCCTCAGGTTACTCCTTTCACTTAGGATAGTTATGTGGCTGGATGTGGAATTAAGGTACATAATCAGAGACAGAATTTACTGATTTCATAGGGATAACTTTACAGTTAACAAAAAAAAACCCCAATCACATAAAAGTAGTAAAACAAGTTCAGCAGGGTTTGTAAATGATTACTTAGTTACTGAAGTAGAAAGAGAACAAACTGAGAATGCATCTGGCAAAGGCAAATTTTTCTTCCCAGCTCAACTGATATTTTCTATAAATTATTTTTCAAGCCAAATTCTTTTAATTCATTTTCTTTGTATTTCCTGATAATCATTCAATTTAAATCAAAGTTGAATTCTTGATGAATTTCTTCCTCCCAAGGATGGCAGAGTAGGCTACAGAGATTTCCTTCCAACTGGCATTTTCCCTGTCCGCCAAGCATGCTTTCCCCTGACCTCTGGATAATGTCAGAAAGATTCCTTCTTTCCACCTCAGTCCTTATTATTTCTTCCAAACCTTCTGCTGATCAGTCCTTGTTAATTTGTCAGTTTCCTTTATTTTCCTTCTTCCCCAGTTCTAGGTTTCCAGTGAGTTCCTAACCAAACCGTTTCATTCGCTCCCTAAAAGTTCATTATCCGTGCAGATTTCTTCTGAGAAAACGTTTCATTCGCTGAAACTGATACTTTGTGCATATAAACAAGTTTCCAAACATTTCAGTGATTAGGTTTGATGCATTGCAATAATTCTACTATTTTTACATCAAAACATTGTAATCCAAAGATTGCTTTATCAAGGCTAACCAAGGCAAAGATTACTGCAACTTGATTATCTGATGGGGATAGACAAAATAATAGCAGGGGGTGGTGTCCTTCCCCCCCCCCCCTTTTGTGGCCTTTTTTTTCCGGTGGGAGATCTAGGGAGGAGAGTTCATATGGACTATCTGTCATATTGTTTTGAAAACCTTAATTCCATAATACAGAGTTTCCTATCCTTGACAATTTTTAAGATGTGTGGACTTCACCTCTCAGAATCTGCGAAGTAGATGGGCAGTTTTCCAAATTTGATAAATAAATAAAAATTGGGAGTTGAAGCCCACACATCTTAAAATCTGTTTTATATATCAAATTTAGAAAATGTCCAGCTCCATACTCTGTATTGCTGAGGTTGAGAAATATTCCCACGTTTCACTGTCATGATGTATGGGGTTATTTCTCTCCAGTGATTGGAAATAAAGCATTGGAAGGTGTTGGTGAAACTGGAATTTATATAGGTGAAGGGCAGCTTTTTTACATATTTCCTTTAAACTTCAGAAAATTATAGATACGTTTTAAAAAGGATACGTCATTTAAAGGAAAATTAGATGGTTTTTTAAAAATCAATATGTGATTTGCTAATGGTTGATCATTCAAATTATAGAAATCATTTTAATGCTTTATGACAAAAATCTAAGATGGAATGAAAGATAAGTAAGTAATGTACGTAGATGTTTCAAGAAATGTGACTAATGACTTAGATTGCTGCTGCCCCAATTCTTCCATGTTTCAAATACCTAAAGGAATTGTCAGATGTAATTCATCATCATGGAGATTTCTTTCTCTGGCTCTGGGTTCTCTGCTTGCTGATTTTTCTTTTTCTCAATCCTCCCTTTTTGGTTATTTATTTATTTTAGAAATTTATGAAATCCCCCAATTATTAGTTTTGGGAAGATTTGAAAAAATAGATGATTGAAATATCAACCTTACTGTGAAACCAAACTAGGCAAAATCCTCATATAGCAATATTTGAATCAACATTTGTACGTTCTAGGAAATATTAGAGATCAGAGAAACCAATTTTTTTTTTTTACTTTTGGGTTTAAACCCTGAATTCCAGAATTTGGGGAAAATATGAATCATAACTCAGGGCTGTCTGTTTTTGAGTAAAGATTGAAGATCCCATGTTGAAATACAAAGTACATTTTTCTAAACATCAGGTCTTTTAAACACAAAGGTATCCTGCTTCCTGGATAACTCTGCTAGAATTAAACTTTTAGGCATAATAGCTCTACTATAAATCTGGAATATTTATAGCTGTTCTGAAAAAAATATATATTCACATTTTATAATGAAAAATGCTACCTTGTTACACGCTAGGTGATATGTAGAGATGTTCTTGTTCTTATCAAATCTGATGGTTCTTTAGATAGTAACCAGAGGATGCGAAACAGCAGAAATGACCTTAAGAAGAAACGGCCTGGGACAGCTTGGATTCCATGTCAACTTTGAAGGGATTGTGGCTGATGTTGAACCTTTTGGTTTTGCGTGGAAAGCAGGCCTACGTCAGGGCAGTCGCCTAGTAGAGATTTGCAAAGTAGCTGTAGCAACACTTACTCATGAACAAATGATTGACCTATTACGCACATCTGTGACCGTCAAAGTGGTGATTATTCAGCCTCATGAAGATGGTTCACCTAGAAGGTAAGACATTAGCGGCGTATCCTTGAGCTTACTGATGAATTTGCCCTTTATATTCAGGCTTTCCTTGCTGAGTTGATGAAATTGGATACAGGTAGTCTTCGACTTACGACCACAAGCGAGCCCAAAATTTCTCTTATTAACTTAGACATTTGTTATCTGAGTTTTGCCCTATTTTACAACCTTTCTTGCCACAGCTGTTAAGTGAATCACTGCAGTTGATAAAAGTTAGTAAACCGGTTGTTAAGTGAATCTGGCTTCCCCATTGACTTTGCTTGTCAAAAAGTTGCAAAAGGGGATCATACGACTTTGGGACACAGCAGGGGTCATAAGCATGAACCAGTTTCCAAGCATCTGAATTTGGATCACACGATCATGGGGATCCTACAAAGGTTGTAACTATGAAAAATGGTCATAAGTCACTTTTTTCAGTGCCGTTGTAAGTTACATTGAACAGTCACTAAATGAACCGTTGTAAGTCGAGGACTACCTGTATTTTGCCTCTGTAAGAGACTGAATTAGAAATTATTTGGTTAAAATGTAGTAATCTCCCTTTTTTTAAATTATTTTTTTTATTAGATAATTTTTTGGAGAATAAAAAAAGGAAAAATCTTTTTTTTTAAAAAAAAAGAATAAAAGCAGGGAAAAAAAAGTAAAGTGAAAGTAAAGTGAGAAAAGAATAAAGAAATGAAAAAGAGAAATAGAAAAAGTAGTGACTTTCAATTTGTCTCTAAAGTTGCACCAGAACTCCCTTTCCCCCCCATAATCTATCCTTTCTAACTGTCAAGACCAAAAGTCAGTGGGAAAATGGTTTCCATGAATAGTTTCCAGTTGCTAACTAAAGAATGGAGTGATGTCATATTTTACATAGTATGTAAAATTATTTAAAAATATAAGACCCATCCACCTGGACCATACAAAGGCTCATATTATCCAACACTTTTTTTCTCTTAGTTGTATACTTGGGTGTCTCTGGGAATCTCACAAGCTTTATTGGCATTTCTCAGACTAGAGTTCCATCATCATCTCTCACAACCTGGGTGAGGTACCCTGGCAGACCTCATCCTGCGTTCTGCAGAACATGATAATGGAGTGACCCTGAATCTAAAGATTGGATGTAATCATACAGACCCTAACTAATTATTTGTCTTGGACCATTTAGAAACCATTCAAGTTAATAGTTGTTACCAAAACTTGTGGAAAAAGATTTCAGAGAATAGTCATATACTGTTTGAAGCTACCTATTTTTGTCTGCTTGAAATCTCCTTTCATTGGATAGCCCCAATTTTAATCCTATATTATGGATCTATTCAAGGGGTGTCAAACTGCCGGCCCACAGGCCGGACGCGTCACGTGGAAGCCGTGCCCACCCCATTGCCGGCAATGGCAAAATCGGCCCGATACGTTCCGCGATGTCATGTGACGTCGCGAGTTTGACATGCCTGATCTATTCCTTCAAAGAGATTGTGACCCTTCAAGAGCCAATGTTGAAACTAGATAAGTTTTTGAACAAACAGCCAGTCCTTATTGCTGGAATTTAATCCATGCCTGTTTTATCTAATGCAGTTTCACAGACTTTACATATTGTGTTAGGATTCCCATGGCACTGGTTGCTTGACCTGGGACTATGATGGCTGAGCCTATCTTACAGAAGACATTTTCTACTGCCTTGGGATTCAAAAGAACTGAATATGGTTCCCAAATGGTGTCTCATTTTTTCCCCACTGAATTCTGCTATGATGTTGATAGCTCTAAGTAAATATTAGTGCTTTTATCTGCAAATAGGTGAGATAAGGAAACTTTTTTCTGAGAGGCCATTTGGAAGCAATCTCATCAAGTGCTGTTTTACTAATTCTGTATTCCAGAAATTAACCAGATGCATAGTGGTATATAGTCCACAAGATCTGTAGCAATTTCCTTTCTATTACATATGTTTTAGAAATTCTGTAGAAACTTCCATGAGCACCTGCTGGAAATCAATGGCTGATTATCTTCCAGTCCTGTGGAGATTGGTAGCACTGTTTCACACTGATTAGAAAATGAGCTGATTATGAAAAAAGAACAGATAGAAACATTCTCCAGTTCCAGTTCCCGAACCAGCTGCTTCCAAAAAAAAGAAAGAAAAGAAAAGAAAAAAAGATTAATGTATGGCCATCTGTATGCATTGGGTCAGTAATGGTCTGTGACAGGAGTTGACTTGGAGGTCATGAAATCCTGAGCCACTTCTTCCCCAGCCTTCAGAGCATGGAGATTGAAATCCCTGAATACCATCATTCTGGAAAGTTGATCACCTGCGGAATAGATCTCTTTGATCTACTCCGCTTCCACAATCTTAGAATTACAGCTACTGCAGCACCTGAACCTAGTCAGGAGGATTTCTAGCAAAACAATTCCTTTCCCCAACCAGACTATAATAATACATGCCAGGTCTGCCCACACACCTCTGTCCAAGAAAAGGATGGGTTGCAAATTGATTCAGGTCAGGTCTCTGGATGATTTGGCAGTCTTTTGGGCTGCAAGTGGTATTCTTTAAATTGACAGTATGTGTAGATGACATGATAGTGCAAATCCCAGTGTTAACCTATTTCAGTTCTAGTATTGGATTCTAGTAAATGAATTGCAGATTTTGTCCCATGGTCAACTGTCAGATTTTTCAGGGAACTGTTATGGCCTTTTAAGAGGGGCACCACCTGAATAGCTCACTCTGGAAATATTCAGCCCCTGAACAGTCAAAATTAATTTACATTGCACTCAATAAAGAGCTTCATAATGTTTCATCAGATTCTGTTCTTTTTTCCTTTTCTTGGGAGTGCCTTCTGGGTATGGTCATTGGATGCCCATCTTATCAATAGAGGATTTATCTTCTTACTGTTGCTGGGAGAACGATCTGTTTGTAATCTGAGAGCGATAAATAACAACTTTAGCCAATTGCTTCCCCTTTACAGTTAAGGATTGTATTTGAATTCAAGATCTGAGGAGTTCTGATACATGCACTGTTCAGTATAAATGATAAATGTATTTTTCTTGGTGTTGTTTTGTTTAAATATTAGAAGCCAATAGTGAGACATGAGGAGGAGGTAAAGGATATTGGAGAGAGGTTGCAAATGCTGTTTGATTTTGCTTGTGCTCTTTAATTCTGCTTAATAAGGCTGTAGTTTTATGCTTTCTTGTCTGGGAATAAAACTAGACTAAGTTGGACTTAGATCTGATTAGGGACATAGAGGATTGCATATAGTAACTTATCAAACATTCAACAAAAATAGAAAGTGGATTAAAAGGGGAGAGCGGAACTGTTTGTATTTTAATTACATGGTGAGTTTATAGTTTAATTATGTGTAAAGAGGCACTAATTGTACATAGGATTACCTGGGAATAAGGTCACATCGATGTGAACATGGAGAAGAGAAGAATTAGTGTGTGTGTCAAAAAAATCTGCCTATGGTTGCATAATATAGACCAGTATGATAGATATGGCTCGTAGTCTTCAGTGAAGAGACCTTCATTCCTCAGTGGATTGTTTTGGGATAACAATAACAACAACAACGGCCCATGGTCCATTTTTGCCCAAATAGTGGAGGAACAAAAGATCAGCTCCTAATTGTCAAGATAATATTGGAAAACTGCAAGAGAACAAAGACCAACCCGAACATAGGTTGGATTGATTTGTCTCCATGCCACATAATTGGATAATCAAATGCCTAGAATTAACAGGAATAGTAGAAACATCAGAAGCTTTGTGAAAAAAAAATGGCACAGTGAAAGATATAGTTGCTGATAGACAGCAACTGCCTATAGTGATAGACAGAAAGAGGTTACTATCAAGAGAGGATTCTTTCAAGGAGATTCACTCTTACCAACACTGTTTGTCATTGCATTGATTCCTCTTATTAACAATGCTGAACAAATCAGGCCATATCTGTCAAACATCAAAAACATATGCCAAGCTATCGCATCTTGTTTATATGGACAACTGAAACAGTATGGAAAAACATCATCTGAAATAGAATTGTTTTTCAACACTGCTTACGTATATATACAGCCAAGATATTGCAATAGAGTTTGGACTAGACATATATGGTACCCCCACCATCAATAGGGGAAAAATAGTGAAAATTGAAGGAATCAAGATTTCCTATACAAATAACATCAAGAGTCTAGATGAAGATGATCACTATAAATACATGTGTGTCCTTCAAGCTAACAACATCAAGCACTCTGAAATCAAGAAGAAGGTTAGAAATGAATACATCCTGAGAATGAAGAAGATCTTAAAGTTCAAACTCAGTGGAGGAAATATCATCAAGGTAATTAACACCTGGGCAGTTCCAATCATTAGATACGCAGCTGGAATAGTGGACTGGACTCAGGTAGAATTTAAAAACCCAGATAGGAAGATTATTTTTCTTTATTATTATTTTCATAATGAATCATGCCCTTCATCCATGCACCAATGTTGACAGACTCTACTAAACTAAGGAAAATATTTGAGCGTGGAATGTTGCTAATACATTAGACAATTGAAGAAGAAAAAGGGCAGTGGAAAAATATCTGAAGAAGAGTGAAGAATCTGAAGGGCACTGAAGCTGGTATACCATGAGGGCTTACTGAGTGCCAAAGAGACCAAACTTACCTACAAAAAAAGAACAAAAAGAAGAATAGAAAAAGACATGAAAAGGCAAAGTATTACATGACCGGTACATAAAAAGCAGGCAAAGCAAACAACAACATTTGGCAATGACTAAGAGCAGGAAAACTTAAGAAAGAGGGAGCAGTTCTGGCTACATAAGACCAAGCCTCAAGAACTAAGTGCATATAAAAGCAGATTTCAGAAAAATGCTGCCTCTGCAAAGAAGCTGAAACAGTGGATCACCTACAGTAGTTGCTACTGCAAGAAGATTGCATAGACTGACTTGCAAATGACATCATGACAAAGTAGCAACAATGCTGCATTGGATGTTCTACAAGAAATACCATTTGCCTGCAAGAAGAACTAGTGGGACCCCAAAACAGACACCGTAATAGAAAAGGAAGAAGCCAAAGTGCTCTGGGACTTCAGAATTCAAACTGACAAGCATCTGTCGCATAACACCCCAGACTTGACAACTGTTGATAAAAAAGACAAAAAAAATGGATAGTGGATATGGCAGTACCTGGAGACAGCAGAAGAGAAAAGAAAGAACAGGAGAAAATCACAAAATGCAGAGACCTACAAATAGAAGTAGAATGATTAGAGCAAAATAAATCAAAGATAGTACCAATAGTAATAAACACTTGGGTATAATCTGAAAACATCTGGAGCATTACCTGAACACCATCAGCAGTGACAAAATCACAATCAGTCGATTGCAAAAGGCAGCTTTACATGGAACAGCACACGTCCCGAGACAATATCTTTAATACTGTCAAATAGCTTCTGCCTACCCCAGTTCTTTGGGAAGGGCTTAATGGTGGATAAAAATGCCAAATCCAGTGTAAAGATTTGACTGACTGTGCAACTAGCCATAATAATTATAATAGTATACAGACATACATGGGCACACATATTTGCTTCAATGTTAAAATATTATAAGTTCCACAATTTATGTCATCTATTCTGGACCATATAGATCCATGTAACCTGACGAATGCCTCTGATATTACATCTCCTGTTCATTTCTATCGGTAAAAAGATGAAGCTCTCCCTTCATACCATCTCTATAGCAGTACAGGCTCATTGGGTGACATCTGATGGGCCATGCTTCTCTCAGACAAAGACATTCCAAACTGGCTTGTGTCCAAGAAGTCTCCCAATGCCCTTTTGAAACTCCTCCCACTGACCTATTACTAACATACTGATATGTGCTCTCTAGTTAGGGTTACATAGAGCTATACAAGGTTACATGGATCTATATGGTCCAGAATATCATCTGTCTTTCAACCTTCCAGGTTTTGAAATACCACAGTTTATCAAAGTTGCCTATGCTTTTTATTTAGCAGACAGTTAATTATCTACTAAACATGCACTTTTTAAAAATCTTATAATTCATGCAATTTTAAATTCACTGCTCTTCACTTTGTGATCTATTTGTATGACTATGCCGGTGGTAATAAATTAAATATGCATAGTGTGAAATGGGACATCATTGTTATGGTAGAAAATACCAGTGTGATTCTCAAAAGATTCATTGCGATGTTCACCTCTGCCGTAGGGGATGCTCAGAACTCTGTCGAATTCCCATGGTGGAGTACAAACTTGACAGCGAAGGCACCCCATGTGAGTATAAAACTCCTTTCAGGAGGAACACTACTTGGCATAGGGTGCCAATCTCTGCTGGGCAGCCTCTCTCTCGTGCCTCTCCAATCTTAGGAACATCTGACAGACTGCAGTGCCAACAGCTTCTTCATCAGGCACAAACTGCTATTCCTCGCAGCACCTCTTTTGACAGAAAGCTCCCTGATGGCGCAAGGTAATATACGCTCTTCCAGCTTATATTTTATTATAAATGCTGTATCAAGTGAGCCCGGGCTCTGCTCTGTCTGCCCTATTTTTTTTTCTCTTCCTGGAAGCAAACGATAGTCAATGCTGTTAATATTGATACTAAAAGGAAGATGCAGTTTTAATTCATATATCTGCCTGGGGTATTAAAAACTAACAAGCTTTTTTTTGACACCCTCAGATGACTAACCAATACAATAGAATACGTCTTCTTGAGAAATAAAATGAAGAATAAATATTTGACTGTAAATACATTTGATTCCAAATTGGGCAATTTTAAGGTTTTAGGGTTTAGTGAGAATGTCTAGAGAACAGATTTCCTGAGGTTTTGCCGGCAACTGTGGTCCCCATTTTTACAGAGCGGTCTGCTATGCATTTTCTCAATGGAAAGCATATTAGTATTTAATTTGGAAATAAAGAGGGTACATAGATTAAATATGATTTTCCTTGCTCAGGACTCAGAGAGTTAGTAATGCAGTCTGAAAATATATTATTATAGAGCAGAAAGGAGGTTAAGTGTACTATTGATGGTTAAGTGTACTACAATCCATGGTTCAATGAAGGATATATTTTTGGAAGAGCACAACATTAAAGTAATTTTATTAGTTTAATAAATGACTAATAATTTTTGTTATCCTTATAATTCATTATATAAGGTATCATTAACTGTGAATTAGTTTTAATATTAACAAACACAGATGTGAAGTGGGCATGCAGAATGTGTACTGCTTTGAAGTTTCAGTGATTTTCACTGGAATATAAATGAGTGTTCTGGAACATAAATCAGTCTCTGGAAGTCATAAATGAATAAATGAGTCATAAATGAATAACTGAAATATAAATCAGGCTGAGTGCCTGATTATTACAGTTGTTTTATATAGTGGTACCTAGGTACTCGAATGCTTTGAAATTCATAGAATTTGGTACTTGACACATTTTGTTGCAAAAACTTTGTCCCAGTACTTGTTTGTTTGGTACTTGACTCAAACTTGTTGCTGTCAGTTATTGCCTTGTGGTTAATATATTGTTCCTTATGGGAAAAAATTATTTAGTACTCACTATTTTTTGTACTCATTGTACACCCTGGAACCAATTAATGACGGGTACTGAGGTATCGCTGTATAGTAAACCCATTACATAGTTTAAGTTTTAAAACTATTGCATATCACTACTTCATGTGCTTAAATATAAAATTTGTTCATGAGGAATTTTATTAAACTAATAGGATGCCTACGGGATCACTACATATCTTGCTACATCTTAAATTGCTAATTATTTCAGAAGTTCTCCAAGCAACCAATCATCCTCCAGTGATCCAGGACCAAGCGGGAGTAGTCAGTGGAGGCATCAAGTAGGATATGATGGGTACTTGTTTTTTTTTAATATCTTGATTGTGAAAAATATATAATGAAAAATATGTACATAAAACATTCAAATTGCCTGTAGTCTTTCTGAAAGTTTTTAAATTTTATAAAGGTTATCAAAAGATAAAATACAAATAGTGGGAAAATAGTGGAAAAAGAGGAAGGGTAAAAGGAAAAGAAAGAAGTGTAGGGGAAAGAAAAAAGAAAAGTATTGACTTCTGATTCTTTTTAGCATAGTAGAATAAAATAATAACATTACTGGTTCAACTTTTTACTTTTACATACTTAAGATGTACCAGCCATTTCTGTAACAATAAACTTATCTAATCAGCAAAACCCAAAGTTGTTTTTTTTTCTATTTCAAGCACAAAATCCAAGCAGAATACAAGGTTGGATGTATTCTTTTCTTTGATTAGAGCAGTTAATTTAGCCATCTCTCTAGTTCCATCAGTTTTTCCAGCCATTCATCCATTGTGGGAACGTCTATGAAGGTTTTTGTTGAAGGAGATAACATCTGTGCGGAAATAAATTAGCAGCTTCAATTTTCACTTTTCTCAATCTCTGAAAATTTAGGATTAATTCCTACTTGTCTCTGCCATACTATCTCAGAAAAAGCACTTGCCTTTTTAGATATTATATTAGTGCCCCAGTGTGCTGCAAAGCACCTTTTTGTCTTTGAATGCAAGGCACTACAAGCATTGCTACTTAGCTAAAAGGAGGAGAACCGTACTAATCCAGTATAAATGAAATGGAGATGTCAGCTGTGTTTAATAGAGATTAGAAATAAAGAGCCATGATGGTGCAGTTGTTAGACTGCAGTATTGCAGGGTGACTACTCACTTTGCCAGGAATCCTGACCGGCTCAGGGTTGACTCAGCCTTCCATCCTTCCGAGGTCGGTAAAATGAGGACCCAGATTGTTGGGGGCAATATGCTGACTCTGTAAAGCTGCTTAGAGAGGGCTGTAAAGCACTACGGAGTGGTATATAAGTTTAAGTGCTATTGCTATTGCTAAAGGAGAATATTTATAGCTCAGGGTTGAAATGAGGGGTCCTTGGTGCTCTCTGAGCTTGGTTGTTTTCTTGCAGACATTTCATTACCCAAACTAGGTAACATCATCAGTGCATCACTAGCATGGATGATGATAGCTAGTTTGGGTAATGAAACATCTACAAGAAAACAACCAAGCTCAGAGAGCACTAAGAACCCCTCAGAGATTAGGAAATATTTAATTATATGCATATCATTATTAAATGAACATTACTTCAAATTCAGCAACAGGTTTCGTTAAAAACTGTATTAATCACCAATACATTTTTTTTGTTCAGTCACCTGATGAAAATCATATTTAAAATGCTATGCCATGGGAGCAATAAGTGATTCATATGGAATGAGTAGTTTGCATAGTGAGTGAGAAAACCCACCACTTTCTCTTTCCACTTAAAGATGCCAGTCCCCTTTACTTCATGACCATCAAGGTCTCTTGGAGAGCGAAGAAGGCAGAGAACATGAAGAATCTTTGGAAGGGTCCAGACATCCTAACGGTAATAGAAATTCTTTTAAAGTCAAATTACTTATTTGCTGAGTTGTTCATTTCTGTCAGTTTATGAAGAAAAGACAGGATATTAATCTAAACAAACAAACAAAGCTGTGTGTTATCATCAGTATTCTGATGGTGACAAATTCCAAACTTTTGTAACTTCCTTATTACTATGTTTACCTAAATCTGTATTTTAAAGTATGCTTACTGAAGTTTTAGGGAATAAAAGATGAAAATACAGATGCCCCCTTATAAATCTGATGGAACCCTAGGTAAAATGAGTAAATTTACATTCATCAGAAATGAGTCCCAAAATTGAGTGGAACTTTTGGAAGTGATAGCATGACTTGGCACAACTAAATTTATACAATGTGGGGTGATCCACAATGTTTTCTACCCAATATTTTGAAACATGTTATTTCCAATTTACATGTTCATATAATCTTTCTCATTAAGTTGCAAAGATTGTTATAAATGGTCCTATTTTGTACCTATAATTTAATTATATTATCTAGCACAAAGAATGGAATCAGCTATATCTCATTGCATTTTCTTTGAGGATAGTTTTTTCCTCCTACACATGCAAATATCTTTTTTTCTGAAAACGTCTGGGTTTTTAGGGTTACTTTATCTGTGCTGCAAAATTCTGGATGACAACATTCAGAATTCTGGTGATAGGAAAGAGATACTGAAAACTTTTAATTATTTTTTGCTATCAAGTGGTCATGCAGATTTTTGAATCTGGAACTGATAGCCCTGTTTAGAGCAATATACTTTCATTTTTCACTTGCTTTTTACTGATCACCTCCATGCTCACTTGATGCTGAGAAGTAGCATAAGAGTGTCAATATTGATATTGGGGTTTTGCTCCATTCCATAATTTATTGGGATGATATTGCAAATATGTATGTGATAACTGTTTCTTCTTATTCAGAACTGTCATAGCTAATAAATCATGTATCTCTCAGTTTGATAAGGACAAGATATGATTCCAAAAATTCCAAGGAATATCCTTGTTTTAAACCAAACCATTAATGTTAAGATACTAGCTTTCCCCCCCCTGTACCTTATGCTTGTATTATTGGATATTAAAACAAATAATTAATTATGGCAGAAATGAAGTGGCATGCACCATCAACCAAGGTTTTGAGTTCCTATAAAGACCGGGCATTACAGAAAGAAAACAATGGGAAGGAATCACCAAATAAATTTTCTCATGTAAGTTTTTTTACTTGGGAATTCTCAAAAAGGAATCTTTTTTTACATGTGTCTGAATAAAGCCTGTGTTGCAAAGGTCTGAAGAAAAGTGAAAATGCTTGCAGATTTTCAGGTTATTACTTTGATAAAAGGATGTTTCATCATAATCTTTCAATATAAAATCATGAAATAGGAAATATAAAGAGTAAATTGTAAAAAAAAGTTCAATGAGCTTGTTATGTTAATTTATATATTTCTAGAATCTACAACTTATTTTGGTATAATTTTGCTTATTCCTGATGAAATAACTCTGAGAAATTAATTTGAGTATAGAGAAGGTCACCCATTAGTATCTACCAGGTTTGAATATGAAATAAATGGAAGTCTCTTCTAATAAAAAATAGTAAGCTTCATTGATACAGAAATAGCTGTAAGTATTCTTTCTGGCAGTGGCCTCAAACAAGCACATGATAAAGAGCACATCCTTGTTTCTAGGCAACTGAATAGCTCACGGGTGTCAAACTCAATCGCGTCACGTGACATATCGTGACTTTTTTGCCTTTGCGGAGCCAGGGTGGGTGTGGCCTGTGCATGACGCATCCGGCCCGCGGGCCGCCAGTTTGACACCCCTGGAATAGTTTAAACACTAAGTAAAGTAAGCATCACTCTCCATTCTGAGCAGAATTTTACATTGCATATTTAGAAACACGCACCTTGTTATTTTTGATGGGCATTCTTGTATTTCCATATCTTGGAATAAACAAAATAAATGTTTATTTTGATTATGACTATATATGATTTTATTACTTAGGCAAAATTAAACATAGATTGATGCACCTAAATAGAACTTTTCTGTCTGTATAGTATATTCCTGTAAAATTTTAGTAGTGATGGCAATGAGCTAATAACAATGAAAAATATTTCCAGACGAATTTAATAATATTGCAGATATGGCAGAAGGGAATGTGAAAGGGAACTTTGCATTGGCAGAGGTTACCTGCTTAATGTTGGATTTAGGCCACAGAGAGAAAAACAGTTACTATAGTTACAGTTAATGTTTAGTTAATAGCCTCAGAATGGGGAACTTGTAGCCCGCCAGATGTCATTGAACTGCTCCTGGCATTCCTGTCTCTTGGCCATGCCAGCTGGCTCCAAATTAGGGTAAAACTCCCCTCAGTGTCATCTGGAAGAGCGTAGCTTTCCCAAATCAGTAAAAGCAATTGGAAGATGCAACACCCCTTCTTGAATTCTCAGCTTATCATTTCAAATTCTAAACATAATTCACTTTGTACAGTAAAGGAGAATATTTGTAGCTCAAGGTTGAAATGAGGGGTCCTTGGTGTTCTCCGAGTTTGGTTGTTTGCTTTCAGTACCCAAACTAGGTAACATCATCAGTGCTCAGACAGGACCAAGGGTCCCTTACTTTGTACACCTTTATAGAATCTTATAGATTGTTTTTGAACATGTGTTAATTGAAATACTAATACTGCAAATAGGGTGGTGCATGGGGGGGGTTGTTTCAAATTCATTTGGCATTTCTAACTTGTAACGTGTTTCTCATTTCATTGATTAAACTCCAGATAATGGAAATAAAGCTATATTTCTTTTTAAGATTGGAGACAAAAACTGTTCCAGCCATTCTAGCAGTAATACTCTATCCAGCAACACATCAAGCAACAGTGATGATAAGCACTTTGGTTCTGAAGACCTGATGGATTCCGACTTGCTTGGATTAACGTATATTAAGGGAGCTTCTACTGACAGTGGAATTGATACTGCTCCTTGTATGCCAGCTCCAATGTTGGCTCCATTGCACATTTCTGGAAGTCGGTCGGGGCTTCATGGACGGACAGATCAATGGGCTGAATCATCCGAAACTCCAGGAGCAGATGATGAGATGAAAGTGTACGCTGTTCACAGCTATGCTTCAGCCATTTCTAGCAGTCACATAGGTGATGGCAGCATGGGAGACCTCAGTGAATTATCTTCACATTCTAGGTGAGTTTTTTTCCTTCAATGTTTTTCAGGTAACTAAATTAAAATTCTGAGTAATGTGTAAATTTGCTTTTTATACTTTACTGGGAGTGTTTTAACCTTCTATTGTCAGTGTTAGATTTCAGAAATTAAGAAGAAATTGTTTCTTGTAAACCGTGAGCCCCTGAATTCACTTGTGTATGGTGATGCCTATCTAGTCCAAAATTTTACATATTTTTACTTTTAATAAACCTAAATCCATATTCCCAGGCATCGAGAAAGATTTGGCTCGAATTATTGTTACTAGATTGCCTTACAATATATCAAACCTGTCTTTGTTGAGCAGTGTAATTTAGATAACACATTTTGTACAGAAATGATAAATTGGGTTCAGCTTTTTTTTTCTCAGTATCTTCATTTCATTGGTGGGATTCTCCCTCTGCCATGGGAATCTTCCTGTCTAGTCATAGGAGACAAGTTTTGCATAAAACACATTCTAGACACTGATTAATGAAGGAGTTATGCCTTAGAGCAAGGATTAAATTGGATATCATTCTGTCTACTATAGCCTATTATGAAATCAATTTATGATTACACTGCATCTTTTTACCTGCAAAAGTCTTTGAATATTCCATGGAAGGATTGCTATTTTGTATCAATAATTACTTTTTAATGTGAAAATTTTTAATTTGGATTTAAAGATATGGTTAAAGTACTTCTGCATAATTTTGTGATCTCAAACCATTGACCATAAACGTAATATGTGATTTCCTTTAATCCCCAGTCACATGTGCACAATTTGTATAAGTCATGAACTACAAAGCAGGCTCATCGTTTTTGGTTTTTTGAATGCCATTATAACTTCAGTCACTAAATGAATAATTGTAAGTTAAGGACTATCTGTAGTAACTAGAGAGAAGACATTCTCAGACATAGTATTCTCTTCCAGGAACACTCATATGATGCAAACATTGAGTTTTTTCAAGTGCTAGAAAAAAATATTTAATCAATCTTGTAATGTTTCATTTCTATAATGTCAGTACCAACGTTTGAAGTTCTGTTCTGTGTTTCAATTTTAGTTTTTTATTATTTTAATTTTAATTTTTGAGAGATAAGTTTCTAACCCAATAGATAACTAAAATAAGAAAGTAGTATTTTTATACTACTACTTACTAAAATCAAAACCATAAGAATTCAGCTTTAGTTGGAATATGAACGCTGCATTACTGAAATAAATTACATGACAAAGACTTTATGGAGTGTGTGTGTTTGTGTGGGGGTTTTGTGTGTGTGTGTGTGTGTGTGTGTTCGTTCATCTGTGTGTGTGTGTCCTTTTAAGATAAATAACAGCCAATGTTTTTCCTGTTTCAGATTTCCTCCAGTAGTACTACATTAAAAAAAATTATTATGTGCATTTCCCCCCTTTTCTAGCGGGTCACATCATTCTGGAAGTCCTTCAACACATGGTCCTAAAAGCATTGGATCATTAGATACCTCCAAAGTATATATAGTCTCACAAAATTGTGCTCAGCCGATCTCTGGATCCATGGCAAAATGTTACCCCCGACAAGGAGCAATAAACAAATACGTTATTGGCTGGAAAAAGTCAGAAGATAGCCCCACACTCGAGGAATCTGAAATTTCTGAATGTCAAGAGTAAGAATCTTTGTTTTTTTCATATGTGGGGAAGAGAAGTTGGAACTTGAGAAGGGAGGAGGTCATGAAAGGAAAAAAAGTAAAAGAAAAGGCAAGGTTACATGATGTTGATTTCCTAAGGCAGTGGTGGCGAACCTATGGCACGGGTGCCAGAGGCGGCACTCGGAGCCCTCTCTGTGGGCACACGTGCCGTTGCCCCAGCCTTGCCTCCCCCCGCGATCCCTTCCTCTCCAACAGCCCCCCTGAAGGAAAGTCGCTCCTGAGCGTGGCCCACCCAGAGCAGTGCAGCCAAGGACATGGCAGCCAGGCAGTGTAGACAAGACTCTGCCCTCACACCCCATCATGCAGGGCGCGGGCAGAGGGCGTGGTCACCATAGCGCTGCTGGGCTGCCTGGCTGATCTGCAGCTGGTCCTGGAGGTGGTGAGTGGCCCTTCAGGCAGGCGGCGCGGGGGATGGGGGGCGGGGCAGGGGCGGGGCAGGGGGTGGAGTGGGGGAGGGGCCAGTTTTGGGGCACTCAGTCTCTAAAAGGTTCACCATCACTGTCCTAAGGATTAAAAGTAGATAAGGGTTCTGTACAAGTAAAGCCTCTGGCTTCTACTTTTAGGTACTTTCAGAGAAAGTTTCTATCGAGCAATCTGTCTGGTTTATACAGGAATTTAAGGGAATCTTAAACTTATAATCTATTACTCCATTTTCTTTCTGTGCATTACATTTGTGCACACAAACACATACAAGCACATAAGCACACTGAAGAAAACCTGTGCAATAATATGTTGACAAACTAGGTGCAGTGCTGAGAACAATTCATCGGACAGTACTCATATTTCATGGACTTAAAGCTGAATTAGCATTTGACTTGTATCTGCTTTACTACAACTTTGATACATTAACAAATCCATTGATCGTGTCTTTCCCCTTTTCCCTTCTGTGGTGAAATCTTTTGAAAAATGTCCCTCTTGACCATATTTTCTCAGAGCTAATTGTTCCCAGCTTCTTCAAACTCTGGTTATAAACCTTAGTTACTGGTCCTCTGATCTTCTTGCTTCCCCCCTCTCTGAATCTTTTGTAATTTCTTTTAAATTCTTCTTAAAGTGTGCTGCCCAGAACCAGACACTTTTAAGCATTTAGTGTGGATATTCATTATTTGGTAATATTGCTCCTGCTGAAGCAACTTTGAATTGGATTTATTTTTTTACAACAACCTCATACTGCTGACTCCTATTGTTTTCAGTTAACTACTCTTCCAAGTTCTTTGCAAGTATAATGCCACGTCAGTTATCCCCCATCGTGCATCTGTGCATTTGCTATGTTTCTTAAATGAAACGGTGTACACTTTTTCTGTTAAATGTTATTTTGTTACTTTCATTCATTTTCCCAAGGAAAATCATTTTGAGTCTTATTTCTGTCTTTTAGAATATTAGGTATCTCACTCACTCACTTAGGCAATCCGCAGGTGTGATGAACATTCACTTTACTTCTTCATTCAAATAAGACAAAATCATTGAAGAATAGGAGATCCAGAACTGATTATTCTTGTGGCAGCCCACTTGATGCTTCTTTCAAATCAAATGTAGACCTTTGAAATACTTCAGACTTGAAGTATTTCTTGACAGTGTTTTTATTACTTCCAAGCTTCAATCCTGCCTCTTTATTCTCCTCATAGAAAATATTTTTTGTTGCATTGTAGCAAAATAGGTACTGAGTAGCTCTGTCTTTTGTTTATTGTCCTCTTTACTGAGTGAAGGCGAAAGTATGTTGGCTTGCAAGATAATGTTCAGATTAGAGTCCTAACTTGCATAAAATTAGGTGATCATACTTGGATTAAAACAGCTTTGGTTACACCTGTAGAATATAACCGCAAATAGTATTGTCCTTATAGATTCAAAATACAAAGTTTACTTATGGACTTTCTGTGTAATTTGTTTCATATTCTGTTTGGCAGAATTCTGATCAAAAGTGTACAAGAGATAATGCTGATTAATATTTGGGAAATATATACCTTTACCAACAGGGGATGTGTAGGCTGTAGTTTTCCTGTTTGGCAGGTTATTGAGAAATGTATTAATGTGAGAAATATACAGGTACATTTATTAATATATGTATATGATAAAATGAATAGTCCTACATTTATAGAACATTTTGTACAAATACGGAGTTTAATGTTGCTTGCTGAATGTGATGAGTGATATGTAATTAAAAAATATATGTGAGAAAAAATAGAATCCTTAGCAGATGCTTCATGTTGGTAGGAGTGTAGTCAAGAATGTTTGTTATCTCCTTGGTTTTTTAAAATTTCCATACGGATAAACATATAAAGAATGCTTGTGGTGATGTTAGAGGTGTGATGGTTGGGAATATGAATGTATCTGTATTTTTTTGTATGCAGAGGATATGATGTTCCTGGCTGAGAACCTGAGTTATTTGTAGGGAATGTTAGATTAACTGTATGAAAGAAGGAATATGGAGCTGAAAATGAATCTTTTGAGGTTAATGGGAATTGTGTTTGCTGGGAAAGATAGGATAAAAATTGCAAGCTAGGGATACATGGGAAACAATTAGATTAAGTAGATTAATACTTTGTGTTCTGTACTTTGGTTTACTGCAAGATAAGGAAATGATGATGTACAAGTGTTGATAAAAATGTAGTGAATTGTATGCTACTATTAATAATAGTCTACTTAAATGTTACCAAGAATGAATGAATGAATGAATGAATGAATGGATGGATGATCAAAGAAAATAAAAAGTGCTACTTATACGGGTGTCCTGCTGCCCTTTTTAAAGATGCCAATAAATTGGATATATCAGGAAGAAGTATAAATGTTGAATGTTCAGGAATTCAAATCAGAAGACAAGTATGTATTAAAATCTTCAGTCACTTCATATCTTCATATCTTTTTGAAAGATTTGTGTCATTCTGAAACATCTGCAAGTTCTTGCTTTTGGAACATATCTTCACATCTTGGCTGTGTGGGGGCAGGATTAGATGCTTTAATCAATAGGCTTTTTATTTGTTCTTCTACATACTTATTTTAAGACAAATACTCTTTACAAAATTGCCCACTCATTCATTGGGATTTCTGAGTAGGAAGGGGTGTTCTTAATCCAGGTTCAGCTCTTCCACCTTCTCTTCTGTTCCTTTTGAACCAATTATATCCTTCAGCTGCAGTCTTGAAGCCCCAGGTCTCCATTGTCCCTATTAAACAATATTTGCCATTAGAGTTTGGGCTCATCTTGTTTATTTCCTCTACTCTGAACAAGATTGCATAGACAATGAAAGGCAGAGATGTTGTGAGCTTTTGCTTTGTCAGATTTGTCTTCCAGGGATTTCAGAGGCCTATTTCATTAACACTCTCACTTTCTACAGTGCAAAACTCCTTGTCTGACCTCCTAATATTTTCCTTCATTCTTAGCCCCCAACCCCCAGTGCAAGATGCAAACTACCATATTCTAACAGTCCATGATACGGATATGTCAGAGCACGATTCAAGAAACCTAATTGCTTCTATTGATACCATTTGCATAACCCATTTTTAGCATGCAGTAAGTACTCTTCTTGGAAAGCTCATTATAATCATGCTCACTATACAGAGCAAACAAAGGAGAGGGCAATAAGAACACAATAATTCCCAGCTTGTTTTTATTTTACTAAACCTTAGCTTTGTACAATTAGGAAATTTATTTATTTATATAGCCATTCAGCTCATACATGGGTGACCTCCAGGCAGGTTACAACATTTAAAAAATCTACCGTATAATAAAAACCGATTAAAAAAAAACCTATTTCACTCTCCATGGCAGCAACAACACAATCAAATCAGCCACTTGATCAGCTCTATCTCCATTAATGGTCCCCAGAACCACTAAAAAAATCCACGTTTTTTAGGGGCTTTTGGAAAAGCAACAAGGTAGGGGGGGGTCAACCCTACATCGGGAGATACGGTTAAACATCATGTTTAATTGAATGTTTCTAATTGTAGAAGTATGTTTACCTCTGATAAGTATATATCCATTGATTTTGTTGGATCTGATAGCTATTGGTCTTACATATATGACTGAAATATTTGGGAAATTTCAGCCTACATTATTTTAATACATAATTTAACAGTGTCTTTAGGAAAATAAGATACTTTGTGTAATTGTTACACTGAACAGTTTTGTCAGATTTCTGGTAATAATAAAACCATGTCTTTGTAATTGGACCAATTATAATTTCACACATTATCACTGCAACTTAACTAATAATGTAAATAACATTCTTGGGGGATAAGTGAGCTTTGTTCTTTATTTTGATCTTGGATTTTAATTAAAATGTATTTGAGAATATAGTGAAAAGAATAAAGCATGCTTTATCTTTTAGGTGTTCTCTGAAATGTCAGATGGAACCCTAGAGCTAAATTCAATTGGCAATGGCTTCCATTAAAACAAAAAGGGGGAAGGATTACCTCTGTGTTCTTTAATACTCATTTGCCCCCAGAATGTTGTCTTGGGTATTGGGAAACACTTTGGCGCCAAGGGCGAGAAGGAAGAAGTATCATTGTGTCAGCAGCTATCTGTTTCATGATACAGTTTTATGCCCCAGTATTTTAAGGGATTATTGCTTCATTGAACATTTCATGACTGGAAATATGTTTCTTCAGATAACTGTTCTTTAATATCTATTTTGATCATGATTGTTATTAATTTTAGTTTCCATGCTTAGTTTAAATGTTTTATAAATTAAAATTTATGTATGTATTAGGACTAGGATAGAATTAAGCACATACATGCAGGCACACATTATGTATGTGTATTTATGTGTGTGACACAAAGAGGAATAATTATAAAGATATTTAGATAGGAACTTATTATTCGTTAACTAAAAAACCTTGTCTCTGTGGGATGTATAATTATGTTGATGGCCTTTCTTCAAGTCAGCTTCAAGCTTCTGTCAGGAGTATAGTTTCTGAAGGCCAGCAAGCTCTCTCAAAAGAAGAATTTCTGAAGTTGATGATGCAGAATAACATCTCTGCAGAGGATGGAAGAAGAAAGGTTAGCTATTTTAATATATATATATATATATATATATATATATATATATATATACTTCTTAGAGGCTATTATGCCCCAAATCCATTGCTAAAGGTTTAAAAATGTTAGCAGTGAGCAAGAGGAGAGAATAATTGAGAGAAGTAGGATTGTACAATGCATTTAGAAGAAATATTTTGCAAAACATAGTGCGTGAATGGGGAATCGCTTCTCAAAGAATTCAAGCACTACATTCTCCAGAAAGCTTGCTCATAACTGTTTTTAAGGCTTGTCCCCAATTCCACAGGTAACATTGCCTTCAAAGCTATGCATAATTAGCTAAATAAGAAAGGCATTGTTTATATTATTTCTTGTTTATTTAAGAGCATGTATTTGTATAGTAAATTAGAAAACAACATTTGTATCACATTTGGAAAGCTGTATTAAAATCAGCTTTGCTTTAATTATAGTAAAAAAAAAAGATAGTTTGCATTCCAAATAGTCATGCATTCTGGATTACAAAGAACATTTTTTCCTTCCAGAATTGATTCAGATTTTGTGAAATGAGAATAAAATTCTTAGATACATGTGTAGGGTAGTTTACTGACGCTTGAGAACTGATCTCTCTTAGCATTTAAATTTTATGTTGTGGCAAAAAGGAATTTATAGTGGACAATATAGTGTCTTTCACTTACCAGGATAGAGGGAACAGTAACCTTAAAGAACAAATCTTATTATGTTAGCTTCCCAAGCATCTGAAATCCCCAGGGAACGTCCTGCTTCTCTGTGCTAAGGCTTATAGAGTGACACTTGGTGTGACATGGAGACAGACCTTCTCAGCAATGGCATCTATCCTAGATAATAGCTTCCAATTTGCAATATGCTAGGGTGATGTATTTTAGACTCTTTAAAATATTGACTTTCTTATATTGATTTTCCTCGGACATGACTCCATCCCCTATTAATTTATTGTTCGGTTCGTTAACTTTACAGAGTTTCACCCTGAAATGTTTTTGCAACTTAGTTTAATGCTTTGGATTGTTTTATAAAGAGAAGTGTTACATAAATACATAAAATAATGGTAAATGTTTTCTATTTTCCATTAGGGAGGTTCAGATCCAAGTTGTTGATATTTTTTTTTACATAAATATAAATAAATAATATTTTCAGGAAGTAGAAACACATTTGTTTTGTTCTGTATTATTTTAGGGTTAGACTGTATTTCATGTAGAATTAATTATATTGATTCAGTATTAAAACTTAGTCTTACTCATTTTATGAAAACATAATTCTTTATTTAGCACGGGCTGCATGTTCTATTCAACCATTTGGAGCTAATTTTTTACTTTCCAATAATTCATGATAGGAGAAGCTTGTATATCAGGATAAAATTGTAAGACGTTTACTATAATAATACTACACTCTAGTTTCTGATGCTAGTGAAGCAGTATAAAACAAGCTATCTCTAGAATAAGATTTATTTTTGTGTAAACTAAAAAAAATCATGATAATTGTTTAAGTCTGACTACTAATTTATTTTCCTAAAATGTTTACCGTAGTTTTCATTTTATGGCAACCTATCTCCAAGGAGGATACTGTACCGTACTCTTTCTGATGAGAGCATATGTAGCAATCGGAGAGGATCTTCCTACGCTAGCTCACGGAGTTCAATGCTAGACCAAGCATTGCCAAATGATATTTTGTTTAGCACTACGCCACCTTATCACAGCACCTTACCTTCTAGAACAAGTTTAAACAATGGTATTGGAAATCTGCGAAGTAAGTTGTGTCTGTTTGTATGTGTGATACTTCTGCTGATTTTATATTCAATTTTCAGTTGGCAACATATCCTCTAATTGAAACATAAAAAATGGCTTTATATTGATGGGAGCAGTTGATTCACCTAGCCAGGATTGTCTGGAGGTGGGGTGGAAAAGAGTCAAGAATCAAGCCTTTGCCTTTTGGATTAAAAGGTCATGCCTGCCATCTTCATATTTTTTTTCTTCTCTTCCCCCACAATTCCTTTGCATTAATTGGAAATAGCTGTCCAGAATTTCAGTTTAAGACATCAGGCTAGAAACCTGGAGATTTGTAAATTCTAGTCCCGCTTTATACTTTATACATGAAAGCTAGCAGGGTGACCTTGGGCTAATCACTTTCTTTCAGCCCAACTCAATTCACAAGGTGGTTGTTAGGGGGAAAATAGGAAGAAGAAGGTGTCAGCATCCATCTTGAGGATGGTACTGTCGAAACAAAATTAACTCTGAGGTTCCCAGACACCAACTCATAGAATTAATTTTGCTTCGACAGTACCATGCTGTGTATTCAATTAACAGTAAGGTTTTCGGAAACGGAATGAACCTGGTGATTTATTTGGACACTCGAGATGAATGTTAACAGAAGGATTATTAGGTATGTTTGCCACCTTGAGTTATTTCTAAAAATAATCAAAGTGGAAAATAAATAAATGTTAAAGTCTGTGAACTGTAGCTACAAGGGATGTGAAACTTTACTGAACTACATCTGTGTCTTATAATATTTTTTTAGATTACTGTAGAGATTCACAAACTTTGGGTACAGTTTCTAGATTCCCCTACAGGTAGCTGCTAATTTATCATTTTAAACGTGAGTGTTTCTTTGTATATAAAATACTATAAATTTCTTCTTCAGTCGCACAAACTGAATTTAAATTAATTTTAAATTAAACTTTTTCTATATAAGTTTGTGCTTTTGAGTCATCGATTCCTGGGGAATCCTTGAAGTTTTCTTGCAACATTTTTGGAAGCAATTTGCCATTACCTCCTTCTCAGGGCTTAGAAAAAGTGTCTGGATCAAGTCGCCCAGTTGATTTCATGCTTCTAAGGGAGGGACTAAAAACTCATTGTCTCCGATTTTCTTGCCTGGTGCCTTAACCACTACATCAATAAATTAAACTTTTTTAAATTAAATTCTTTTTGTAAGCTTTGGTCCTCAACTCAAAATGCTATGTGCACCCAAGCATTAGATTATTGTAAATGACATAAATTGTTTGTAGGCATTCATAGTCTTGGAAACAGGTTTCTTCTACTAGTAGTACAAACTCCATGGATTTATTCTGCTGGTATGGGAAGTATTTTTACCACTTCTCAATCTCAGCTGCACTCACTGTTTTTAAGGGTAGCTAGGAATAAAATGAATTGTTCAACATTTGAAGAAACACTTATGGTCTGTAGGTATTATTTGAAAGATTATTATCTATGATATGAAAATTAGATCATTTTCTTCAGTCAGTTGAAAATGTACAGCAGAAGGAAATGAAAAGATTTGGCAGGTAGTGAGGTTGGATGATAAATATGTGGCATTCATTATATGAACTGTCATATTTAGTTTTGCCAGGGCATTGAAATTCTCTGACAAATTCAGGTGCAGATAACAATTGCCAGGTCAACCAGCTCAAAAACATCTGTGTACTAAATATAATTGCATAAACTTGCAGTGAAGCACAAGAGAACATATCCAATTGCAAGTGAACTCTGGTGCAGATTCTGAGACTAATAATGCCTTTTTTCTATATTCAGTCTGACCAATGAAGAATAAAGTGAGATTATTCATATAACTCAAGAACTATACTTACATTGCATCTTCATCCTATATTTTCAGAAAAATAAGCAGCTGTTTGAATTCTATAAAATAGTCATCCCACCTCTTAATGGGCCCATTTGTAGCAGTTGCCCGATGCTCATATATTTCAATGTTTTTTTTTCTTTTCTAACCTATTAAGGCATCATCTTAAAGCCCACTTTCTTTTTAATATAGATGAACTGTGGTTCTCAGATGGATCTTTATCTGACAAATCAAGATTCAATGATCCTGGCTTAATGCCCCTTCCAGATACAGCAACAGGATTAGACTGGTCTCATTTAGTTGATGCTGCACAAGCATTTGAAGGTAATGTGCGATCAATGTAACTGCGGCTAAATTAGCACAAATTAAGATGCAACCCTCCTGTTATTACCAGAGGCAGTAGCACTCAAAACATTTGATAATTTGGCAATTCCGTGCATGTTCTCCTAACCCATCAGTTTTCCATTTCTAAACCTGTAATTCTCAGTTAATAAATGGATTGTATAGGTTTCACGGTCCATCAAATTACTGTTAGGTGCAATGGACTTAAGACAAAATATACAGCTACAAGACTAAAAAATATCCTTCGTCAAAAACGAATATTGATAATTTGTTCTTCATATTCACATGGCCACCTATCTCACAATCAAATGACTCTGGGTGGTGTACAACAAAATTAAAAACAATACCTACAAATTATCTTCCAGGTAAAGACTTTTCTAAAGTCGTTTTTCTAAACCTAGTCAGTTTCTGTTATGCTACAATAAGGCTAATAAACAGGTAGCAGGACAGAAATGATGATAGAGGAATGATAGAGAGATACTGTTGCAGAATCCCAACAGTTACATAATTGCAATTTGGGTGCTTTGCAGCCGTGCTTATTTATAACAGTCACAGAATTCTGTGGTTATTTGATCACCATTTGTGAGCTTCACACCCAGCTTCTGACAGAAATAATGGAGAACTTGGTGTTAAAATCAAGTCATGATTGCAGGATGACTCAACAACTGCGGGTGATTTGCTTAAGGAAATGACATTATCAATCTGGCATGATGAGGTGGACTTTCACTTAACCACATCACTTAGTGACAAAGTTGCTGGTCCCAACTGTGATTATTAAGTGAAGGCTACCTGTAGTTTTCTGATTCTTGGTTTTTTACACACACACACACACACACACACACACACACACACACACACACACACACACACACACATTATATTGAAAGCAATCTAAAATGTGTTAGTTGGAAAGAGTGCTACCAGGGTCTTTTTAACTGGAAAATGTCAGACGCCTGACATTTTTGCTACTATAGAATAAAACAGCTCTCCTACTTTTTCTTCTAATGTATCATTTATTAAACGCTGTACAGTAACTAAAAGATAAAAAAGATAAAACACCATTTTCCCTAAAATAAATAAATAAATAAAGCATAGGCATACTATAAAGAGGTTGTTTTTAACCTGTCTCAGTATTCTATGTTGTGTCTTGATTCAGGACAGCATTTGTACTTTTACAGATACCTACAGTAGTTTCAATGAATTGTCTTGATTGAACATGGGGGTTTCAATTCACAGTTGTATGAATAGAAGGATGTTTGTGCAGTGGGTTTCTTGCTGGCTTTTCATGGTAAGATAATGCACCCTTTAAAAAGCCTCTCCTGAAATTTGCAGATTCCTGAGTGGTACATGCTATGGTTATAAATAGATTCAGTATATATATTGGATATAGTGTGTCCACACAAATGCAGTCGTTTATCTTTTATTACCCCTTAAAATGAAAAAGAAGGGAGACCAAGCTTCAGATTTGGAATAAAAGCATTTGCTTAAATTCCAATAGATCTTACATAAAATAGAAAATGAATATAATGAAAAACTGCATATCCTAGTAAACTTCATAAGCTTAATGAGAACTTGAAGCTTGATTTCTCCTTTCTGTTTAGACATTCCAACCCGATTAGCTCATTTATTTTCAATTTAGACATAAAACGGGCAGTGATTTTATAAGCAATGGAAATACTATAATTTACTTTTAAGAAACAAGTATATAGTTTTTCTGGTTGCTTTAGACAGATATAAGTCATGTAGCTGTTATATATTAAGACTTATAGTATAACAGAATGAATAGAATTTATCATACAATGAAAGTTAAATAATTTCTGTTTTGTATTCAGTTTCTGGGATGCCAGATGGAACTAACTACAAATATCACACAAATCATCTCTTTTTAATGGTGAATTATATTCATACAACTTTTCCAAAGTAGCTTCAAACAGTACTCCTTCTGTTCATGACACACCGCTCCATTTCCTCCTTTTTAGCCTTTTCCTTTTTTATTTTTCATAGCAGTTGTTTTTCTGTATTAAAAATTAATATTCTACAAACCTGAACCCTTATGTAATTATAGCTCACAGTAATAATTATTCAGCTAGTGATATCGTCAGTGTATTTGATCATTACACTGGATATTGCTCATTCAGCCAAAGTCTGTAGCAATTTCTCCCCAAATTAAGGCTAAATACATAAAGCAAATGAAATCATTTTCTATGAAGAATAAATCCACCAAAAGTGAATGCTCATATCTTGCTATAAAGAGAGAGAGAGAAAGTTACCAAATATCCAAGTGAACATTGCTTTGTGCGCTTTCTTTTCTATCAGTTCTCAACATGTACTAGTTAACTATAGATCAGTGATGGCAAACCTTTTAGAGACTGAGTGCCCAAAAACTGCCCCCGCCCCCGCTCTATCCCCTGCCCCACCCTGCTTCCACCCCGCCTACCGCAGGGCCACTCACCGCCTCCAGGGACCGCCACAGATCGCCCAGCAGCACCATAGCAGCCATGCCCTCTGCCCGTGCCCTGCAGCATCAACTGTGCGCAATGGGGCGTGAGGGCAGAGTCTTGTCTACGCTGCCTGGTTACCATGTCCTTGACTGCACTGCTCCGCGTGGGCCATGCTTGGGGGTGACTCTTTTCCAGGAGGGCTGCTGGTGAGGGGGCCACGGGGGAAGGCAAGGCTGGGGCAACAGCACGTGTGCCCACAGAGAGGGCTCTAAGTGCCGCTTCTGGCACCCGTGCCATAGGTTCGCCACCACTGCTATAGATTGAAAGATTAAAATAAAGTACTTAAATATATTTAGTAGAATTAAAAACATTAAGCAAGAGAAAAAAATATGCTGTATGTTTCTGTGTTTCATTATTTCAGTGCATAGATGTGCAAGGCATTTTCTTTTTTCTCTCTTTTTCTTTCAGAGTGAGTAAGTTCACTTTTGAGTGTACTCGTGTTTTATTACAAATTTGCCTTGTAAAACAAAAAAGAAAACTAAATGCTGTTTCTTATTTTAAAAGTTCAGCTATACTTATAAATCAAAACCAGACTAACCCACAAACCTATTTAGTAAATTTTATTGCTCTTCCTCTAATATTGCCTAAGTAATAAATATATCTGGAAAAAAAACTGTTGCTCTTTTTGTTCCACATTTTATTTCATATATTTTGCAACTACTTTGTTTTAACTACTAGAATTGTCAACATCCAGATGAGAACACAGACAATGCTAGATTGATGATGAAAAATATTGAGTAGTTTTTTTTTTTTTTAGAAATCCCACAGTAAAGTTTACACAACATGACGCGGTAAATTCCACAAGCTTGAGTTGTTTCACATATAAGGATAGCAAGTGCCATAATCCAAAGCTAGTTCAGTGGATTCTGTTTGTTCATAGGAAAATTCTAAATCTTATTTTCAGATTATGACTCTGACGAAGAACTTGGGCCAGTCTGTCATCACACTTCGTTTCTAGGTGATGATCTGGGTAGACCGTTGGATATTATGTTATTTTTTAAAAAAATATATGCTTTTATATGTTTGCACGGTTGCATGATTATATACAAGGTTTGCGTCTTTGCAAGAAGAAAGGAGGGCATGCTGTGGTCAGGGCCAAGACCTAGAGACATAATGAATAAAGTCTACAAACAAATTATCTTTGCTTCTACCGAATACAAATGTTGCATGGAAAAAGCTCAGAGTTCTGTTCTTTCTTGTTCTATAATAAATGTCTGTGTGCCATACTTCTTTTTTTTTCCTTTTAGTACTGGGTATAATTTTGGCTGCCACACTGCATGTCTTTCAGTGGGGAAGCTTATTTCCCAAAGAGTAAAGCATGTATTTTGTCCTTGGAAAGGAAGTAATTTAAAAATCATTGGTGTAAGCAGCTTTCTTTTTATGACTAAACTTGATCTGCCAGTGATAAGATCATAATGGAAATTTTAGCTCATTGGAGTTCAAGTGTATAGGTAATTAGTTCCTTTATTCAAGTAAAATAGTAGATCGGATTTCATATTTTTAAAGGAAATATAAAGCTTTTTTTTTCTTATGAAATAGCTGCTTTGCCTTAAAGTGTTTTGGTTTTAGAATTTTTGTGAGTTTTTGGAAAATGAGATGAGTAATAAATAGGGGGGGAAATGTCAATTACAGCAACGCTCAAGCTGTAATGAGCATGCTTTGGTATTTGTCTGGAAATTCAAGGGATGGGGAATGCAGATTTAAAGAAATGGTTACAAGCATTTTCTTTTTGGGCTCTGTTTGGATTCAGATAACAACAGTTCTTGATCAGTTTTGAATTCTGAAAGTATTTCTAGGTTACCTTTTTTTAGTTATTTGCTTATGCATTTGCCTTTCTAGATCAAAGGGTGGCATCTTTTTGTACCCTGAATGACATGCAGCATATGCAGACTTTGGAGAATAACCAAGCCTTGGGCTCAAGTCCAACAAATGGAAAAGACTTCGTTGATGCTAATGGGTATGTAAAGTATGTACAAAGAAGGCTACTTCTTGCGTGATTCTACTACTTCAAATTTTTGGGGAATGTCCAAATCCAGTATGCTGGATGCTATTTGCAACAGACTGTCTCCGAAGTGAGGCACCCTGTGTGGAATTCCCTTTCCAGCAGAATACAAGGAATTCCTTCCATATTGGCCTTTAAGAAGACTTCAGAACACGCCTTTCTCAAGTGACTGTTGATAATGTTTAGTTATGCAGTGCAAGTCTGAATTTGTAAGGTTTTAAATAGTAGTTTAATAATGATTTAATTTGCGGTGGATCTGTTCTTTTAATAGGGCTGTTTTTTCGGCTTCAGATCCTTTGATAGTGGGTGGCCTAGAACTCGTATAAATACAGTATCTCTTGTTTCACCTTTGTTATTTTTCTTTTAATGATGATAATCCATTTAGGCAGAAAGGTTCAGAACAGAAGTAGGAGACATGATCTGCATTTCTGTGGCTTTAAGACAGCAAAACCAAGTGTATGCTGTAGGTAGTGTCTGCAGTTTAGATATATTCAATTGCTTGTTTGAAGTCTGTGTGAGCTATAAAGAGTTCTGGTACTTTTCTTTAAAAGGCCAGGAGCCATATGCATGTCATCAAAACTTATTTGGTTAGACTTGTTACTGCACAGAAAACCATTTGAAGTGGCATCACAATGTCACTTAAAACTTTTGGCTTTTCCAATTCTTTTCCTTCACTACCATATTCAGAGTGGGGCATGTACACAAGGTAACAATGTCTTAGTCTCTTCCCACATATTTGCACTCACCTGTCATTGTTTTAACAGTACTTGCTTTTCCCAATTTGACCGCTTCCTTCCTATTCCCTTGTTTTTTCTCCACTCCATCACTTATTCTCTTGCGTTTGTTCACATAATCTCAATTAGGTAGGCAAGGCAGTAACCAATTCTAGTAGAGCTCAACATGCATGATTTTATTTGGATTAGATTTTAGGGAGTTCAGTTTTGTTGCTTTATTATTTCTTCTCTTTGTTTTGCATTGTGATCCACAAAATTGAGTTGGGCAGCTATATTTATCTCTCTGTTTGTCTGTCTAACTTCTCAAGGAGGGATCCAGCAACGCTGGTCTTGCTTACATTAATCTTGGTGAGCAAATATGTGTACAACACTTGCAGCTTCTTGAAATTATCCACTTTCCTTCCAAGTTCCATCACTATGATTTCATCTGTTTATTTACATCCTTCCTTATTTCCTTAATTTGTATGCCACCCATTCCCAAAGCAGCCCAGCAATTTCAAAGGCAAATTACATGGGGGGAATATCACCCTTCCTTATGGAAAACACAGAAATGTATTAGGAGCAAGAAAAATCATATTGGTTGTTTCTCCACTTTATAAGTTGTATCTCCATTGTGGAATTTTGTCCTCCATAATAAATTCATTTACATTGTTATTCATATAGCTTCTGAATATATTTACTCTTTCTTGCATTTGTTCTAACACGCTTTCTTCTTTGGACACATCTGTACAGTTTTCTTAGCAATATGGAGGTCCTGGTTTTTGTTCTACTTCCTAATCTACTTCCTAATCTACCCTATATCCTTGGTATTTCTTGTGGTCTGCCATCCAATTATTAACTAGGTTTAAGCCACAAGATCAGCTAAAGTTTACTAGGCGTTACTATCTAGCTGGGTCTATTAATCCATACTTCACTATGTCATTAAGACTAATTGTTTTGGATTTCTAGTAACAGAAAGCCTTTAATTAATGACCAGACAAGGCTGTGGCAGATCATGGTGTTTTTTTTAAAAAATAATAATTATTTTTTTAATGGTTGCCCACTCTGGGTGGCTTACAAAATCCAGAAATAAAAACAGATAAAACAGCACAAGCAACTGGACCCTAACAATAACAGGAAACCACAACAGTGCCCTTACAAACACATTAAACCCTGGCCTAAGACCTGAATCAGGCTTTAAGCAGTTTTCCAGAAGCCCAGGAGAATGAAGTTTAATACATGCTTTTCATTGCATTTAAACCCAAAGAATGAATCTCAGCAATTTTTTCATTTAATATTGGGTCTTTTACTCTACATGTTTTTGAATTAGAATCTGAGTGCTTTCATATGGTTTTGAAAACCATAATATACTGCACATTGCTCAGTTGCTATGTATGTTTTGTATGGAAATGTTTTATTAGGAAATCTGTATGATATTTTGAACTAACCTCAAGTGCATTTTGATTTTTTTTTTTAGAGAGGATAGTCCTGCTACTTTGACTGGCAAAGTAAACCAGCTAGAAGTGATCCTCCGACAATTGCAAACTGATCTTCGAAAGGTAAAAAATAAAATGTATTCATTAATATCACACAGTTTAAATAAAGATACTGTAGGATTTCTGTCTAGGACCTGCACACTAGCTTACATGTTATATGAAAGCTACACTCACGTGGTACGGGCTGCTCTTGCCATCAGCAGTAACGTGGAGTCAGCATACTGCAAACTGGGTAATTAGCATCAGTGAAATGAATTAAAGAAAAAAAACTCTCTGTGTTGTGACCTCAGACCACATCAGGCAACAGAGCAAACCACATTTTGCCCTTAAAATGATGGGAAATCTGCACATGACTTCTGCTTTCTAATTTCATTGTTTCCTAAGTGTTCAGATGTATTTATTGTAAGCTTGCAAAAGTAAAGTTTTTGAAAGGCAAATATGTATTCTCAGATATAAATTCAAGTAGCAGTACATGCCATAGAGTCTCTAGTGAATCACATTGCTATATTATCCTAGACAGATCAGTGTCTGCCTCCATAGAAGGCAACTGTATTTAAATAACCATTTTTGAACCAGGAAGTATACCAGGGGTATTTTTATTGGGTGGCCCCATTGCTTCCATGGAATAAAAGCCATTTCCACACCCTCATTACAAACTTAACTAGTAGGCTATCATGAAAATAATTTGAATAGAAAACATCCTGCTTTATCTAATTTATTTTGGGATTACAAGTGTTCAAATACGCAAAAAGGATGTGTGAATTTAATTACTCAATATTTTCAATTTAGATTGTTTTTGAAGACATTGTTGGGGGCAATATGCTGACTCTGTAAACTGCTTAGAGAGTGCTCTAAATCACTATGAAGCTGTATAAGTCTAAGTGCTATTGCTGTTGCAGTATAAATGTGGTATGTTGACTACATATTTCAGAATAACAACAGTATAAAAAATACTGTGCCAACCATAGATGTACTGTTTTTCCAATTACATATGATGGTGAGTGAGATTACACATAAACTTTAGAGTCCAGTACTTTGTGACTTTTGAACTTTTGGTATCCTGTGTAGGATTAATTAACACAAATATCTTTTCAAACACTGCAAGGAATAATTGCATAACATCAGCTAAAGACCTTATTGTGTAACTAGAAAGCTTGGTTTCTCAAATTAAAATTTCATAAATATACAGCTCACACTGCATCTGACTGCAGTAGATCTGATTAATTAAACTCATATCTTGTACAGTTTATAAAAAGGAGTGGCTGGAAATGATTTTGGGAGGTGTTGATGGCATGAACTGCTAGTTAAAATTGGCCCTTTGGAGAAATGTCTCCCTGGTCTCTTTTTTAAAAAGGAGAAATGCAGAGAATTGGAGGAAGAATAACTGTCATACCCACCACTTACCTTCACACTACATTTCCTCTGACAAACTCGTTATAGGAATAAAGGGTCCCTTTGCTCTGAAAAAGATGTATCCATTCCTCTTTACCAAGTTGCAGTCCTTCCAGATGCTTAGCATTTCAGCTATTTTGAACTTAAGATCATATTCTAATGAGAAAGGTTAAAATTTGCTATCAAATCTAGTTATATAGGTGGAATATTCATTCATTCATGAAATCGTTTTCTGAATCCCTGTTAAACTTAATACAAGAAATAATACCAAAAAAACCCCTCAGTCATGTTCTGAGAGTGGTTTGCTGAATTAGAGAGTGAAGTTCTAATATTAAGTTTTTATATTCTACAGTAGACAGTAAGACAGTTTCATGCCTACAAGCTACAATGTCAACATACTGCAGTTACTATGACTGGCTCTGGCTATTCTCCTGTGGTGGAGCCTCAAAATATGAAATAAGCAATGCAAACATTTGTATATACTATGGTTCAGTATAACCTATTAAGCATTTATGAACACATCACATTTATTTCTATAATACTGCAATGCAACGCAAAGCAATGCAATACAATACATATAATATATATTCTTTTAACTCTTACTGGATTCTACATTTCCTGTGCTTTTTCTTTGAAAAATGAATGATGTATTCACATAGTATTTGGAAGCTGCTCAATTCATTCATCTGATATGTGCTCTTCTCCGTGTTTCAAATCAGATTTTTTTAAATAGTAATGTATTGACGGGATGGGATGGATGGGATGGGATGGGATGGGATGGGACAAGACAAGACAAGACAAGACAAGACAAGACAAGACAAGACAAGATAAGATAAGATAAGATAGTTCTTTATTGGCCAAGTATGATTGGACACCCAAGGAATTTGTCTCAGGTGCATAAACTCTCAGTGAACATACAAGCAACAAAATGATAAATCATAAATCATAAGATACAATCATAAATCACAAGATACAACCAATGAAGTGATAGTCATAAGATACCAATAGGAGTAGGTAATAGGAAAGATGAGAAGGATAGTAGTATCCTTAGGCATAAGAATTATGTGTTTAGCAGAATGATGGCATGGCGGAAAAAACTGTCTTTGTGTCTAGTTGTTTTGGCACGTAATGCCCTATAGAGGAGTCCCAAGGGAAGAGGTTGAAACAGTTTATGTCCAGGATGTGAGGGATTTGTAGATATTTTCTCAGCCCTTTTTCTGGCTCTTGTACTATACAGGTCCTCAGTGGAAGGCAGGCTGGTTGCAGTTGTTTCTTTCTGGAGTAAATAGTAAATAAATATTAATAAATAGTAAATAGAAACCATTCAACTGGTCATCTTGTTTTGTCTTATTGCTTTGTGTTCTCTTTGCAAGCACAATTAAGTCATATATGTTTTTGTGAAATGATATCTTTTGGTTGACAGCATGATGCTATCAATGATATAGAAACTTGGTTAACCAGGCCCATTTAGCTTGTTTAGGCTGCAAGGCTACCCTCTTTAAAATCAAACTAATTGAGATAAATTGAGAATCAGAATTCCACTGCCATCATTTGTGACTAAGGAAATGAAGTAAATATGTGCATGTTTGTTATCTGTGCTACAAAAAGAATGATTATAAACATAATTTCACTCCTTTTTCTGTGATCTAGGAAAAGCAAGACAAGGTTGTTCTCCAAGCTGAAGTCCAGCATTTGAGGCAAGATAACCTAAGACTTCAAGAAGAATCACAAACAGCAGCTGCTCAGCTAAGAAAATTTACAGAGTGGTTTTTCAATACAGTAGACAAAAAATGCTAATATCTGAATTTTGAAAAAGCGCTATTGAAAAACTTCATAATTTTGAATTTGCCTAATATTATTTTAATCAGCCTTCAATCTTTTAGACATTTTCTGCTATAATCTCCACCCAGGCCATTTGAACAAAGCTACAAACTATGAGAAAGTCTTTATATCCAGTTGAAGAAGAGAATGAATGACATGCGTTTGCTTTCATGAAAATGAATGTACATTCCTGGTGTCATTTTAGACATTTTAGAATAAATTTCTGGTTTGAGCATGCCTGGAAGAGAATAATAATTTGGGATTCATGGTCACTCCTTCAAGGTGCTCCAGTGAAGTTGTTTAAGCAATTTATGGTAACTTGGGTTTCAGCATTGTAAGATAAAAAAAAAGTAGCCGTATACTTTCATGTTTAAAGGTGCTCTATTTTTTTGTATGTACAGTAGATATTTCCACAGTCACATTGTCATAGCAATAAGAATGGACGTAGAATTAAATAGTCACAAAGCTGTGTTTATTAATAAAAATAGCACTGATAAGTTTAAGAGTAGTTTGGATGCAGATATACAAGAAAATATTTATTTGCAGAAAAAAATGGTGCCTGAATTTAAACTGTGTTCCAATTTTTCTAAAGATACACATGCTTTGTATAATGGCTCATTTGATCAATTCACTGTCAGTGACTTTATATAATTCATATTCAGCAAAGATGGTTATAGAGAGCCTAATAATAATAATCCTACGTGATGTGAACCAGCCAATCATTTGTATAATGCCAGATTTGTTTATCTTTGTACAGAAGCTTTGAGCATGTGACTTGTATTTAACATCTTTATTTAAGCTTATTTAACCTCTTTAATTTTATAAAGCTTTTGTTTTACCTGCACTATGGTGAGGAGGGGGTTGCAAGCTACAATGTGTGTTTAGCTTGCCAACATGGCACTGCAGAGTTCTAGAAGAGTCTAACAATTGAATGCTGCTAGTACACAACTTGTGTTTGTATGCTTTAACATTTAACTGATTTGTTTGAAATGAATATACTTTGCTTTTTTTTAAAAAAAATAAATGTTTAAAATATCAACCACAAACAACAGTGCTCTATTTTCATTGATTCGAGTTACGGTTGGATCTCATTCAAAGAACAACATAGAAGAATATTTTTGTCACCTACACAGTTCTATAGGTAGTAGCAGATTTCTGGACTTGATAGTTTCTAAGAACTTAACAGTCTGACACTAAACTGATACACAACTTGAGAGATTTGCGGAGCTATGATTCCAACTCACTTTTCATACTTTTTAATGTCTTTCAGTAAAGGAGAAACCAAACATCAGTGCTTTTAGTTCTACACACCTATAAACAACGAATACCATGGGGCTTATTTTTCAGTAACATGTACAGACGTGCCCTGTAAATCATTGATTCAAGTTTTCTATTAAAGTATTGATTAAGAATATTAATGTGAAAAGGCTATATATTAAAATATTCTATGTGGTTTTAAAATTGTAATATATTTTTTTCTTAATGTTAATAATTTTTTCTTTGCATAACATTCTGAACATCCTGCTTCAAATGTATTAACTCAGACATTTTATCAATATAAAATAAAATTATGCAATTAGAAGAAAGGGAAGAGAAGAGACACACTGTCACTTCTCCCTTAATTCTGCCACTGTAGTGTCAACTCAAGGTCAACACAACATCATTTTATAAAATTTGTCTTTAAAATTGCAATTTAATGTAAATTTTAAAACCTGTATTTTCCTATTGTTCAAGCATTATATTCTTTGCCCATTCAACCATGCAAAGTTTCACATACACATTCTCCAAATTCAATTTCAGTAACAATTTATAAACCTTTGCAATAACATATTCATCATTACCACACAGTACAAATTTCAAATTCATTTTTACAAAGTCAAACTCATAGCTTTTTATTGGTTTAAACGTTTCTTTCCATTGTAAATATGTAAACCGGTGATTAATAATAATAATAATAGTAAAGTTGGAAGGGACCTTGGAGGTCATCTAGTCCAACCCCCTGCTCAGGCAGGAAACCCTATACCATTTCGGACAAACAGACATGTCTGTGACAGACATATCCGTATGACTCCAACTCTTCTTTGCACTTAAGGGTAGGTTCACCTTGATTAAAAAGTATTATTTGACCATAGGTCCACCATTCTGGCCAGACAGGTGTTTCTTTTGTTTCTTTTCTGAAAGAGGATTCTGAGGTAACACCCAAAGAGAAACCTTTGTAAAGAAGATTTTCATAAATTAGTTTTGAAGAGACGCTTTGTTTGAAATGTTGAAAAAAAACAGTTCTTCAAAGCTTTGCACAGTCATTTTTTCATTTTCATTTTTTCATTTTATTAAATGTATACCCCGCCCTTCTCCCGTAGGACTCAGGGCGGCTTATAGGCATTGCTTTATCAGTGTCTGGTGTTAGCCCAGCTTCCATTTAATGTATGAGAAAGAGTGAGAGAAATATATGTAACAATGGAAAGATAAACCCAACTCTAAATTTAACTAAAGGCTTCAGTTAGTTAAAACCAAAGAACTGAAATAATTTATGTATTTTCAGGTGTACTTCTGTTCTCAAAGGAAGTTGGATTGATTTATCGTAATGATGTTGCTTACCTGTTCTATTTGGTGTGTACCCTCTCTTTCCCGAACAATCTCCGCACAAAAGCAGAAATACAATTCTTCAATTGTATTTTGAAAGACAATCTCAAGTCATGTGATCTGGTTTGCTTCCGTTGCTGAAGGCATTTTTTTAAAAAATTGAATAAGCTGTGATTAGACTCTTGCCAGTTTAGAGGCAACTGGATCTCCCTCCATTTGAAAGTGAGAAGGTTTTCATAGCGGAACCAAATATGAAAAGAAACATCTGCAATAATAATTGTGTATTCATGCTATAAGGTTGCTCAGATTACAGTATTAATGAAGCACTTCAATGTTTAACTGACCATGTCTGCAATAAGTTCTTAGATGTGATATATAGAGACATCAGCATACTGGAAAAATACCTCAGTGAAAGCACAGCTCTATAATAGGCATCACTTGCTTTTGGAAGAGGGCATGCAGCACTGAAAAATGAATGGAATCCATAGAAGTATTTGATGTATGTTTATCCAGAATAAAATAGGTGGCAGCTCCTGCAATATAATCAAGAAGGCCAAAGGAAATGAACTGATGGCTCGGTGAGGCACCCAACAGTTTCAAATAATTGAGCAGAAATTTTAGCTCACTGTTCTGCCCTAAATAAAACTCTGATGCTGGATTTCAAAAGTTCTCTTTTTTCTAAAATTCTCTAAATTATCCCAGAAAGTAAATTACCTGCAAAACACAAAACTGTGTATTAGGCAACTACAAAACTGATAGTTTTATTTAGAATTAGGTCTTGAAACAAACACTGAGAGGCAAAAATTATCATAAATTATCGAAGTTACTGGGTATGAGATTTTAATAGTCTTGTACACAATAAGGAGAATTTGATAGGTTTAATTAGCTGGGACTTTTGAAATATAAACTCACTGCCAGGCATTTGATCCTCATTGGCTCAAGGTTGACTCAGCCTTCCATCCTTCCGAGGTCAGTAAAATGAGGACCCAGATTGTTGGGGACAATATGCTGACTGTAAACCGCTTAGAGAGAGCTGTAAAGCACTGTGAAGTGGTATATAAGTCTAAGTGCTGTTGCTATAATAAATAATAGAATATTGCTTTTTAATTTGGGAAAGTTGATGTCACTTATAAACAATAAAAATTGTTTGCTTGATTGATTTATATTTCATTCTACTTTCATGAGCTACTGAAAATGCAATAATATTTAGCAAAAATGCTAAAAATAAATAAATCTTAGTTCAAAAACTTAATATTAAAATCAGTGAATAATTAAAAAAACAACCTGGTGATAGAGATGTTTATTTTTTACTCTGCAGCTTTATCCAAACACCAATAAAATAAGTTACAGGAATACCTTATAAGAACATCTTCTCCCATGAATAAGATAGATGACACTGAACGGCAAGAATATCTTCAGAAACATGTATCCTATATATTTTATTTTTATTAAATTTATATGGCTGCCCAACTGATACAATGCATGGTTTTGATAGGGTAATACTACTTCAGTCTGATGGAACTCTAGGGAACTTAGATTATATTTAAAGTAATAATAACATCATCCATGCAGCAATGTTGACAGATTCTGCTTCTTACCAGAGAAAATAAGTGGGCGTGGGATGTTGCAAGTACACCAGGCAACTAAAGAAGAAAAAAAGGACATTGGAAAAAATATCTGAAGGACAGTGAAGAAGAAGCACTGAAGCTAATATACCATAAAGGCTGGCTGAGTACTGGAGAGCCCAAACTGGTCTTCAAGAAAAACCATATGAAAAATAGAAAAGAGACATGGCGAGGTAAAGTATTACATGGGAATAATAATAATAATAATAATAATAATAATAATAATAATAATAATAATAATAATAATAATAATAATAATAATAATAGTAAAGTTGGAAGGGACCTTGAAGGTCATCTAGTCCAACCCCCTGCTCAGGCAGGAAACCCTATACCATTTCGAACAAATGGCTGTCCAGTCTCTTCTTAAAAACTTCCAGTGTTGGAGCACTTCACCGCTTCTGGAGGCAGGTTATTCCACTGGTTAATTGTTCTCACTGTCAGGAAGTTTCTCCTTAGTTCTAGATTGCTTCTCTCCTTGATTAGTTTCCACCCGTTGCTTCTTGTCCTTCCTCCAGGTGCTTTGGAAAATAGCTTGACTCCCTCTTCTTTATGGCAACCCCTGAGATATTGGAACAAGAAGACCTGGCAATGTCTAAGAGTAAGAAAACTGGAGAAAGAAACAGAAGGCTTAATTCCGGCTGCACAAGACCAAGCTTTAAGAACAAATGCATACAAACCCAGAACTGAGAAGACAGCAAATGCTGTCTCTGCAAAGAAGCTGAAGAAACAATGGATAACCTAATTAGGTGCTGAAGAAAATTGATTACAAACAGTGGTATGACAAAGTAGCAAAAATAGCACATTGGAAGATCTTCAAGAAATACCATTTAATTGTACATATAATTGTATATATAATTGTATTGTGTAGAAGAATGAGGTGTATATAGAGGTTAAGGATGATGTATTAAGTTTTTGTATCACGAGAAACAAATTGTTAGGAATATTTACTCTGGAATGCCACGTATGTCCATTTTTGTTTTAATTGTATTATAAATAAAAAACCTAGTAAAAAAAAAAAGAAATACCATTTGCCTGCAAGCAAGAAATGCTCTGAGACTTTAGAATTCAAACATCCGCTACACCAGTGTCCCCCAACCTTTTGGGCACCAGGGACTAGTTCCTTAGAGAGGTTTTTCCAATGGACCAGAGGGTGTGTGGTTTTGCATGCTGCCTGCATCCCGCAGATGACGCTTCACTGGTTTGCACAGACCAGTTTGTGGCATACCACGGCCTGGTGCCGGTCCATGGCCCAGGGATTGGGGACCCCTGTGTTACACAGCACCCCAGACTTAACCATTGTTCATAAGAAAGATAAAAAAAAGTCTGGATAGTAGACATGGCAGTACCTGGAGACAGCAGAATAGAAGAGAAAGAACTGGAGAAAAATCACAAAATACAAATAGCTGCAAATAGAAATGGAACAACTGTAGCAAAAGAAAGCAAAGGTAGCACCAATAGTCATAGGCAACTTAGGTGCTATCCCAAAACATCTGGAGCACCATTTGAACACCATTGGCACTGACAAAATTACCATGCAAAAGGCAGCTTGAAACCGTTTGCATCCTGCGACAATACCTTTAATATTATTAACAGCAACATCTGTCTATTCCAGGTCTTTGGGAAGGACTCAGTAGCTGGACAGAAATGCCAAAATCAGTCTCAGCAGTTGGCTGACTATGTGATCAACAAAAATAAATAAATGTATGAATAGGCCATCCTCTCCTTAATGGAATGCCAGGCCCCTATAGAAAACATTTGCCATTGGGTTCATTCCTGGCTATCTGGGTCAGGCAAACAATATCTATGAAAAGTGGCCTCTT